CCCGAAGCCCTAACCTCTAAACTCTATGAACCTAACCCATACTATACCCTTCATTAGCCCAAACTTTGAAATCTAAACCCTATAAGCCTATAAACATTAAACCCTGAACGCGCTGAACCCGGCACCCCATATCCTACATACCCCAAGATTTGAACCGTATTATATCCTGCATACCCTACATAAACCATACAACCTATGTACCCTAAACCCTGAATCCTATATTGTACCCTAAGTACCCTATACACACTACATCAACCACATAATCTATATACCCTAAGCCCTGCATCCTATACCCTGAATGCCCTATATACCCTACATAAACCATATGACCTATATACCCTAACCCTGAATCTCATACCCTAAGCACTCTATATAAGGTATACAGTTAGGGCCCAAAACGATTCCATATTAATACTTTCGGGCCATGCACATACCATGTAGCTACGTGTGTGGACCCTTTGGGCCTCTTGGCGGTAAGCCTATTTCGTGTGACCCTAAACCCTGAACCGCTATCGTGAGCGACGCTGGAGACATGCAAACGCAAGGTCAGCTCTGAGTCACTAAGTCTTGAGATTCTTGCCTTGAAATGACACGGTTGCTTCAAACAAGTTGCGGCATGTTGGGGCGGAGTCTCACAGGTAAGGGCTGTAGTAGTAGTTGGGAGTGAAGAAGAGAGAGGGCGCGGCTGCGTAGACCCTACATTCGTTTTGGTAAGGCAACCTTGGATAAGGGAACCCTCTGGTGTCGTTGTTCAGGGTATCCCCACGAAACGAACTCCAACCCAGACCCCTGGGCGGATCGAAAAAGTAATTCCCCCTTAGTTAAGGATTCCTAATAATTACCCAATAAAAATATTAGGTATCATATTGGGGGTTCTACTTTCTAGATCCTCCCGGGGGGCCTGGGAAGCCAAAATCCTGAACCCACTTGGAATTTCAGCGGCGAGCCCGAACTGAGTCCTGTAACACCTGAACCCCATGCAAGGCCAACAAGCCCTAAACGCCTAACCCGAAACTATAAACCCTAGTGCCTAAACCGGAAACCCTAAACCTTCAACCCCAAATCCCAAAACCCGAAAGCCCCAAACCCCCAAACCCTAAACCCCAAAACCTAAACCCCCAAACCCCCAAACCCTAAACCCCAAAACCTAAAACCCGAAACCGCAAAACCCCAAACCAAAAAAGAACAAAACACAAAAAAAACTAAACCCCCAAAACCCTATAGTCTCCAAGCTTTAAGATCCTCATGTTTCCGAGGCCGGCACCCCGAGCGGAGCGCATTCCTCGTCAAGGTGGCCGCTGCACGTGCCACCTGGGTAGAGGTGTATGGGTTTAGGGTTTAGGGTTGAGGGTCTAGAGTCTAGGGTTGAGGGTTCAGGGTTTAGGGTCTTAGCGTGCAGAGTTTAGGGTTTAGGGTTCAGGGTTTGGGGTTTAGGTGGGGTACTGCCCCCCCTCAGTAACAGTTGGATAATAACTATATAATATGGTTATATATAGCCCTTAATAGGACACCTAATAAAGACTGTTACTGGGTGGGGGCAGTACCCAAGATTTCGGTTTTAGAGGTTTAAGGTTTAGGGGTTTAGGGTTCAGAGCTCCGGCCCGAGCATGGGAGGCAGATGCCACCAGGTTTGGGTAGCCCTCATCTGTGCTCTAGTGTGAACTCCTACCTGAACCTCAAAAGGAGGTAAAATAATAGCCCAAAACACCAAAATATATCCCCAAAAGGCAATTGTTCTACATACTTTGGGGGTTCAGGTACCCTGTGGTATCCCCCGTAGTAGCCCCTGTCTTAGTCCCCTATATAAACCCCCCTTTAAGAAGTTTAGACTACAGCTCATCTGGTCAGGCTATGTCAGATGGGGGCCACACAGCAGCCGACTGCCGCAAAGACGCGGTCTTCTATATACCCTAAACCCCATATACCCCAAACCCTACATACACCAAACCGTATATACCCGACATATACATATATATATATGTATATATATATACATATATATATATATCTCTCTCTCTCTCTCTCTTTATACCCATTATGGTAACCTAATCCGTGATCCAGGCAGTCAGCACAACGCGCAGGATCTTCCAGGCCCGGAGAGGACTGGCCTCGTCGAGGCATGGAGTTTAGACCAAAGCACAACTATATAACCCCCCCTACATGGGGGGGCTACATAGCTATACAGGGGTTCTAGTCCCCCTTAAGTAGATAGAATATGGCTTTGGGTATATGAAAATAAGATCCCCATAAACCCCATATTCTATATCTACTTCCATGGCACCATATAGTTATATGGAGGATTGCTTTAGGGGACTAGTGTAGGGGCTATGAAGGGGCATACCACACCGCTTTCGTGGTGCTCACGGTAGCTCTGATGGAGGCCTTGCAGTATGCATCTACAGGCATCTTTTTGAAGGGTAGCCGGGGTCGGGTTTTGGTCTAGCTGATAACATGGCTGTTGTGGAAGCCAAGTCAGCAGCGCAAACTTGTGTAGTGGGTAGTGCGGGGGCCTCAAACCCAACATGATCCCCAAGAGTAGTCAAGGCAATGCTGGCTTCTGGCAATTGCAATGTGTGAAGCAATCATGTTGAATGTGGGCACCAGGGCACACAAATCAGGCACTGCAGTGAGTGCGCTAATTATCAGAAAGCATGTTTGACAGTGCATTCTGCAAAAGTTCCCTAGACAAGTAGTAGGCACTTAGTCTGTGCCGTAGCGCATGCTACAAAACAGGAATCGCCTTCTCGTTTGGATGGCTCATCCGATAAGCATGCATTCACATTCTTGCTCACACTAAAGAGATTGTCGAACCCAGGTCGCCGTACCTGATGTTCGTGAAGGTGACGGACATGGGGCCATGCTGCTCAGCGTGGCGCAGGTTGTCCTCACGGTCGCCGTAATGGAAGGGGCAAGGACCACGCCTGATGCCAGGCTGGCTCATGTCCTCGTCGAAGCGAGCTTTCTCGCCATCAAGCCACAGCATGCGGTCGAGGTCAGAGTCCCAAATAGACATTGACAATACCATTCCACGATCCATAGCCTCACCCATGGCCCTTAGACCACCCAGATCCCTGTGGCCGTTCGTCTTCTGCTTGAAGACATGGTTCTGCTCATTGCACATAGCATCCGTCAAAGAGTCACCGCCGTTCGGCAAGAGAGTGGTCTCAGAGTTCTGAACCACCTGGTTGTTCTGCACGTAGAAGCGGCGGACCTCAACGAGGTCACCATGGTCGGTGCCGTCATGGGTGAGGAATTGTGTGACGACCGTCATGGGCTTTGATGTATCCACAGCAAAATTCTGGCCGGCACCCCAGAACTGCGGGTTGCCCATGCGGTAGTCACTGAAGCCGCAACCATCCTTGTCACAAATCCCAAGCTTTCCCTCACCCTTGTGGCCACATTGATCTTTACCCTCGCAAATCGTTTGCCTCTCACGGTTGCAGGGGTGGGATGTGAAGACCCCGGCATCACGATTGGCCTCGAGAAGGTCCAGCTCAGCGCAGCAGTAGCCATACTTACCTGCGTTGCTGCTGAAAAACTTGAATTAAGTTACCAGAATGGGTAATACAGTAATTAACATGGATTCCTAAGCATAGTCACTTAAGTCACTTAACAGCAACCCGGTTACCCTCATGTCCGCCCACAATGATCTGGCCATCCGGGTTCTCTCTCTTGAGCAGCTTCTCCCAGCCTATCAGGTTGGCTTCGCCACGGATGAACCTCATGTGCCTGGGTTGCTGTTAAGGGACTTAATTTACCTTACTATATTATCCCCCTATAATGGAGAATCAAATGGAAAAGAAAATGGAAAATGAAATGAAAACTAGGGTAATTATATTGGGGAAACCATATTTAAGTACCATATATACCCTTTATTTAAGCTCCTTAGCAGCAACCCAGCCGCGGGCACTGCGCGTCGCAATAGCCAGTGCCGTACTTGGCACCGCCCGGGTTGTTGCCGCTGCGGTCACCAAACTCGTCCATCTCAACGAAGTACAAGGCTGCATTCAGGCCACAAGGAAGAGTGGAAAGGTCTACATCAAAGGTGAACTCCTTATTCTTCAGCCTGAACATCTTATACCTATCCGGACTGTCAAGCATGTAGACTCGCGGGCCGTTCGGCCAGTCTAGCTTGATGCCATTCTGGACCTGATGTGCCCCGTAATTCTGCGTGTAAGCATTTTGGTCCACCCCTTCCATGGCACAATTCCTAGAGCAAGTCGCTGGATCCGGGCAAAAGGCTGTGTCCCAGAATTCGCCAGGCAAGCAGTTCTTGTAGCCACCCTTGTTGTGCATCCACCGCCACTGCATGTCCATGACGATTTCTGCCTGCTCGACGTGGCAGCCGCCATGCTTTCTGCAAGACTGCACCGGCATTGGGATGTGGTACTCCTGCGCGTTGCCTACCTGCTGACCAGCCACCGTAGCGGCCAGGCTAGCAGCGATCGCGTACCTCACCAAAGTAGGCATGGCTTCAAGGACGTCTGCTACGCGCGTGGGTTTGATGAAGTTTCTACTCCCCAAAGATGTCTTCAGCCAGAATGGCTACGCCTCGACGCAGTCTTCAACTCTGCATGTAAGTTGCTCATTTCAGGGCTGGCATACGTACGAGTATGGCGCAATTGAGGACTCTGGGCCTCCCTAGAGATGGTCAGCCGGCAAAGCTTGTGCTAATTATGCATCCCTGCAGCCGTTGTACTGGGTGTGGGGCTAGGACAGGAGCCCAGCTTCTCCCAGAAGACGGGGACACGCACATAGATTTGCAAAGCACTGACAGCGAACGCGAGTGGGCACCCTGCCTGAGCGACCCACTGCAGTCATGTATATGTTTGTTACTGTTTGTTATGGTGTTTGGGGTAGGATACTCATTATACCAAGACCCTCCTGGTAGCCACTTACAGTGGGTACAAAGGCCCGAATAGAGGGCAGGAGGAGGGTCAAGGTATGGAACCCCAAGAGGAACTACGTCGGATGGTTCAGGTCGGTTGTCGCCAATCTTTGGTGATCCTAAACCCTGAATGATGTAGTACTTTGCACCATAAGCCTCAGTATCCACCACTGGGGACCATATACCCTAATTTCAGGGTACAAAGAGGTTCCAGGTTCTTTTCCGTTGTTTACTTGGATTAATATATGGCTTATGAAGGGCTGTAAATATACCACCCCAAACCATAAATCCTAAACCAGGGGCTATAAATATACCTACGACCAGAAGCGCAAAGCACCGGCCTCCTGGTAGGAATCATTCATCGAAAGCCTCGGCAGGCGTGCCCCTTGTCCCATAAAGCCTTACCCTAAGGGTCCAAGACCCAAGTAGGAAGGCTTCAAAAGGGTATTTCATAGCTCGGAGCACATCAGAAAATGGGGTTTCAGACCCTGAGGTTAAACTGGTAGACCACATTCAGTGAAGAGAGATCTGCGGTACCGTTGCTCTTGGTAGCAACACTTCGAAATGCTGCTGCGGTTCGCCACAAATCCGCATTCAAGCCTTGTCCCTGCTGGGACGCATGTCATCTGTTGCTTACACCCTAGGGCTCCCAGTATGTAGGTTACTGGGCTATGTAACTATAAGGCATATAGAACCCAGAACCCATTATTTAGGTAACTGGAGCCCTAGGGTACAGGCTGCGGAACACTCGAGAGGAGCCTGCGAGCACCATCGGCAAAATCGATCTTTCAAAAGGGCTTGGGAGGGCCTGTTCCTAGACCCTGCTTCTACTCTCTACTCGGCTGCTGTTAGGGAACTTAATTTAAGTTACTGCATTGGGGAAAGCCTATCATGTTATATATATATACACACCCATTATGGTAACTTAGTGTAAATTCCTTAAATATACCCGCGGTACCCTGTGCAAGCAAGGCCAGGAATGTTATAGAACGGCCATAATGGGGGCGGTTTAGGGTTTAGGGTTTAGGGGGTTATATTGTTTTAGGGTTGAGGGTAGTATCATAGTCTTACCCTTGCTTAGCTGGGAATGAAGGACTGAAAAAGAAATTGGCAACTACATGAAACAATGGGGTTATGTAGGGAGGACTATAAGGATCCATTCCTTCATTCAGAGCAAAGGTAAGGAATCCTCTTCCTACACCTTCCCCATGTACCTGCATGAAGGACCTTATTGCCTCCATTAGATGGTACTCGGGGTGTCTTGAAGTCTAATGGGGGGGGATGCTGGCTTCAGAACCCTACATGAAATACAGTCTAAACTCCTAGCATCCCGCTTCATACCCCCTATAATAGTCTCCTAGATAACCCCATTTAAGGAGTTTAGACTCTGGCTC